TAAAAATGATGGCTAATATGACCCATGTGATTCTGTTTCCAAAATTAACTAGTGAACTACACATCCTCGGCATGCTGGAGACTTGTTTTCTCAGCACTGAAAACCAGGAAGGGGTTCAAATGCTTCCTTTTTTTCTAAAACTGAAACAAAAGGTTTTGAATATACATGCTGCTTGAATAGAAAAAAATTAGTAAATATTTCCTGTAGGTTGTATGTTTAAACATACAGTAGTTCAATATAGAATGTTTTCTGAGAGAAGTTTGAATGACAGATTCGTACCAGCACTTACACACTGTTTTTTTTTGCATCCCAGTCAGTAGGTTAAGGAGACAGGTAATCAGGTATGTACAATAGACAAACCAAATAAAGAACTATGTTAAACTGGCATTTTTATGTTTTTCCAATGTGAGCTACTATATTAAGGATGTTCTCCTTAACAGAGTTCTTATGTTTTATGCCTATTAAATCAGAAAAAGTTATATTTTATATTATGATGGTCACTCAAGCACTTATTAGAAAATGATCAAGGTAATGGAACAGCTTAAGCAGATAACAACTAGAATTGCTATTGATAAACATTAAATATTTTTGATCTGTCATTACAAAATGTGTCAGTCCACAGAGGCACAGATGCATTTAATTGTAAACTGATTCTTTTAAAAACCTATAATAATAAATAAAATCAAGCTAGATGTTTGGAAGAAGCATTTACTACATTCTCCCAAAACAAAGTTTCAATTAATCTTTAAAATTTCATTGCCTGAACCCAATGACAGTAGCCTCTGGCTTCTTCTAAACTATTGCCAAGGAAAAATTATGTGACACATATCAAACAAGCGAGAAATGACACTGGACAACATTAATCAAAACTTTCTCATTTCCTGAAGAATTAAACATTAAATAATTAATTTCAGCACTATAGGCAGCTATAAGAGATGTATTGTGCCTCCCCGCTGGTGAGAATTTGTCCTTGTCTGATAGAGTAGATTGATATATTTATTATTTATCAGATTAATCATAGCCAGGGACGTTATAGATTGGAAGCTAGCTTCTGCCAGTGAAACTACAATGGTTTGTTATTGCATCATGGGTGGGATCAGCACTTCAGCAGCATTAATAAAGAAAAGACGACTTTAAAATTGAGAAGGGGTACACTTAGGGTAAAGGTCATCCTCCGGCATTCCTTTTTTTTTTTCTTTAAGCCTTCCTCTGAAAAAAGGTGGAGGAAAAGAAGATGTCATTGATTTTGAAGCTCAGGCTCCAGGTCATTTTTTTTCTATTTTGAAGTCAAGTAGTGGATAGAAACATCAGCTATATTGGTCATATAATCATTTTCTTGAAAGCAGTAAGATGTATAAAAACAAAGTTCAGAAAATGATACATCCTTTTTAGTCTTGTCATCTGTTAGTGGAAGCAGTGGTTATAGTTACCTTTTGCTTGTAATTTATTTTCTCCATAAACGTTTTATTTAGAAAACACAGTTCCACAGACCAGCAGGTCAATAGTGAGATATACAATGAAAGATAGTACAGTAAATCTGTGGGAACTGTCATGGTCACAATGTATATTTAAACATGTGAAGTAAATATATTTTGATACAAACAGGTCAGCAGTAGTGAACACTGAAAAATGAAAACAAAGAAAAAAAAAATAACCAGTACATGAACAGAATACAGAAAATATAACTGGATACTATCATTTCTAAGTAAAGTTGATCCAGGGAATATCCGACTGCCTCTCGGGGGATCAGGAAGGAATTTTTTTCCCAGCAGGAGCAAATTGGATCATGCTTTGCTGGATTTTTTTTTGCCTTCCTCTGGATCAACTGTAGGTATAGGAATATAACTTTTGTTTTCCTAACGGTTGAACTGGAAGGACTTTTGTCTTTTTTCAGGCAGACTAACTATGTAACTATGTAACAGATCAGGAATACACTCCTGTGCATACGTAAATGACAAAGTCAGAGGGAGAGATTTAGGCTCCATAAGCTATAAAATAGAGCCTGAGTTTCTTCAGCTACCATCTAAATGGTTATCTTGCTTAGATCACTTAGATGTTTACATTTTCATTATGTCCCTTCCTGGCTCTTATCCTATAGTAAGGAGGATAAGCTGGGGTATAAAGAGAAAAGGAGTAGGATAAAAAAGGGGGGTAGGGTATTTTACCAACAATAACATGCTTTGTTCCTCCTCCCATCTCACGTTCGGACTGCCCAAGCACATACTATGGAGCAGGGAAACAGTGCAGAAGTGTTAGCTAAAAGCATAAAGCATGTCTATCTCCATACAGCTAACTCTACTTAATTGGAAACCTGATATGTTTCAGCCACAATAAGGGCGGGTGTGTGGGAATTGTTTGAAAGTGTGTCCGACAAGCCCATGTCTTCGGGAATTTTAAGATTTTATCTTGTGAGATATGGAACAGATCTGCCATCTCCGGTATGCATGTAATTCCCAGAAGCCATTCCTTCATAGAGGGAGTTTGTTTAGAGTGCCAATAGACTGGAACAGGGTTGATTTACCATAGACAAATTAGACTGTGTACACTACAAGTGCAGTTGCTCAAAAACGTAGTAAATGAGGGGAAGCTCTAAAAACTTCCATCATCCAATCATGTGCAAGCAAAAATGCTGTTTTCTTAAATTTGCAGGTGATTGGGCATTCTTTCTATAGTGAAGCGTTACCTCATTTATTAGGCTCTGGAGCAATTGCACTTGCAAAGTGCACAGTCTATTGGCCTTCAGTAATTCAACCCCACAGTCTGGCTGCATTTATCATATGCATTGCTACTGATTTATGATATAATCGAGCATGCAGAACAGAGAGATGGAGAAGATAAGGAGCTGGAGAGAACTCCAACTGGACCTTTGAAACCTTTAAAACTATGTCATGAACTTTTTCCAAAAGGGCATAATCTCCGGACCATATATGGCATATATGAAGTAAGGACCCTTCCTCTCTCACATCACCAACATCGGTTTGAGTTTTATGGGGAGATTTTATGTAGTAGAACATGTGTCATGTACCAGCATAATCTGATTTTTAGCTTTTCCTTGAACAGTGACATTCAAAAGATCCTTTATGGACTGGGGTATGGATATCTTTCCAGTCATCTGACAAAACCCACCCAAGTTCTTTTTCCCAAGCCCCTGTTTTGGTCCTGTTTTGGCAGAGTACATGTTGAATTGAAATTGATAAAGGGGGGGAAAACTAAGTGTCTCTGTAGTGTTTTCACATTGTGATTCAAAAGAGGTTAGTGTCCGAGTTAAGGCAGCTCGGTTATGAGTATCACTCAGGAAGTGTCAAATTTGTATGTTGAACCGGAATGGAAAAGACTTTGTGTTGGGGGACCAGAAAGTGAAGCTAGACTCAAAAAAACAGCAGAAGAGTTGCTGGGCTAATATGTATTCATGTGGCCAGAAAAGCAGTCAACATACCTGGAGGGAAGGCCAGATTATGCCTAAGAGAAGTAAAAAGGCAAAAATTGGATGGCAGCCCTGAGGTTTTACAACATGTATGTAAGCTCAGCAGAATGGAGCTAATAGCAGGGTGATGTTTACAGATAAACAATAAAGTCACCAGTGAAAATGAATTTTTAATTTTGTACCGGGACCTTCTCTCAAACTGTAACCATTCCGGATTTAAATGTGGTTAGATGGGTCATTACTGTATGGAAAAAGGTAATTTGTTTGTCATTAGGGCAATATAAATTAACTAAAGTAACTATAGCTTACTTTTAAAGAAAATAAAACATCCTTCTGGATCCATAAATTGATCAGAAATAACAAATGGAGTTTGTTTAGATATCAGAATTAGGTGTATGTGTATTTAGGTATAGAATCCATCTACATGGGCTCTGTGCAGATATACTGCTACAAGGCGACAGGGGTGTGCAAAATCAAGTATATATATATACAGTGGGGATCGAAAGTTTGGGCACCCCAGCTAAAAATTTGTATTAATGAGCATAAAGAAGCCAAGGAAAGATGGAAAAATCTCCAAAAGGCATCAAATTACAGATTAGACATTCTTATAATATGTCAACAAAAGTTAGATTTTATTTCCATCATTTACATTTTCAAAATAACAGAAAACAAAAAAATGGCGTCTGCAAAAGTTTGGGCACCCTGCAGAATTTATAGCATGCACTGCCCCCTTTGCAAAGCTGAGACCTGCCAGTGTCATGAATTGTTCTCAATCATCGTCTGGGAAGACCAGGTGATGTCAATCTCAAAGGTTTTAAATGCCCAGACTCATCTGACCTTGCCCCAACAATCAGCACCATGGGTTCTTCTAAGCAGTTGTCTAGAAAACTGAAACTGAAAATAGTTGACGCTCACAAAGCTGGAGAAGGCTATAAGAAGATACCAAAGCGTTTTCAGATGTCAATATCCTCTGTTCGGAATGTAATTAAGAAATGGCAGTCATCAGGAACAGTGGAAGTTAAAGCAAGATCTGGAAGACCAAGAAAAATATCAGACAGAACAGCTCGCAGGATTGTGAGAAAAACAATTCAAAACCCAAGTTTGACTGCACGATCCCTCCAGAAAGATCTGGCAGACACTGGAGTTGTGGTACACTATTCCACTATAAAGAGATACTTGTACAAATATGGTCTTCATGGAAGAGTCATCAGAAGAAAACCTCTTCTACATCCTCACCACAAAAATCATCATTTGAACTTTGCAAATGAACATATAGACAAGCCTGATGCATTTTGGAAACAAGTTCTGTGGACCGATGAGGTTAAAATTGAACTTTTTGGCCGGAATGAGTAAAGGTACGTTTGGAGAAGAAGGGGCACAGAATTTAATGAAAAGAACCTCTGTCCAACTGTTAAGCATGGGGTTGGATCAATCATGCTTTGGGGTTGTGTTGCAGCCAGTGGCATGTGATATGTGATTTTGTTTTTTCGGGTAGGGGGCGAGCACGAGCCGTGTGCGAGCCCTACCCATGCCACCATTCTCGTATGCGGCTGCCAGTCACTGGGTCCTGGCTGGTAATTACCAGCCGGCGCCCAGTGATTACGTCGGATCTCCGACGGGGAGGAGGGGTGCTTTGTTTACTAACAGTCCTCCTCCCTATCGGCTTGGGCACACTGCTCTGGATGGCTGTGCACAGCACAGCCATCCAGAGCAGGGTGCTTACAGTGAAGCAGCAACACACAGTAAAACACTCCCAGCACACAGTTACCCTTTGATCGCCCCTCATGTTAACCCCTTCCTGCCCAGTGCCATTAGTACAGTGTCAGTGCTTTTTTTTAGCACTCATCACTGTATTGGTGTCACTGGGGATGTCAGTGACATCAAGTCAGTTCCCCCCCATGTCAGAATGCCCGCCGAAGTCCTGCAGTTCTGCTATAAGTCGCTGATCGCCGCCATTACTAGTAAAAAAAAATTCAAGTATATATACCGCCATTTGAAAACGCTTTAACTTTCACGTAAACCAATTAATTTACATGTATTGGTTTTTTTTTTTAGCAAAGACATGTAGCAGAATACATTTTGTCCTAAATTATGATGAAATTGGATTTTTTTAAAATTTTTTTACTGGACATGTTTAATAGCAAAAAGTCAAAAATATAGTTTTTTCTCAAAATTGTCGGTTTTTATAGTGCAAAAAATAAAAAATTCACAGGCGATCAAATATCACCAAAAGAAAGCTCAATTCGTGGGGGGAAAAAGGATGTACATTTCATTTGGGTGCAGTGTTGATTGACCACGCAGTTGTCAGTTAAATTAACGCAGCACCGTAACGCAAAAAATGGCCTGGTCAGGAAGGGGGGTAAATCATCAGGAGGTCAAGTGGTTAATGTATGAATTTTATGCTGCAAATATTTATTTATTTTTAAATTGGATACCCTGTAGAATTAACTGCATAAATGCTATATATTACCTAGTGCTTTTGATAAACTATGAAATAAAATATTAATATACAGTAAATAAACATTCCAAATCCACTTTAAGTTGTCAGTCACACTAATCCAACTTTGAAATCATGCAACTTCCAGTGAAGATGCACATTTTCAAAGTCTGATGTCAGTCTGACATCAGGTGCGACTTGCAAGACATCTGCAACTTGCAGGACACAGATGTCTATGCAAGTCACACCTAAACTTGAAAAAAGTAGTGCATGCACTACTTTCAAAAATCGGTGCAACTCCGACTCCGAGTCAGAATCACACCGATATGACTGCTTCAATTGTGGACAATCGGCTGCAATTTGATAGTTTCAAATTGCATGACAAGTCGCATCAATATGAAAGATAAACCAGAATCTGCTCCAGAGACTTATTAACCTTTTGATAACTTCCCAAAAGTTATCTCTTCACTGTTCTACCAAAGGACAGTGTGTTCTACCAAAGAATAATTTCTTTTATGTTCTGCCAAAGAACATACTGTGTTTTACTAAAAACACTCTTTTTTTTTATAGTGCACTATTTTGTACCGAAGAGTTAAGTCTGCTTACCAAAAGCAGCTACAGGTTATCACGGGTCTATATAGACAACACAGAATGATTTAAGACACAGGGCAAGAAAGAGCTTTTAGTCATAAAAAGACAAAAGGTTTACTTACCAAGTGAGGTGGGTGGTCATCCCAGGCTGAGCCACCAGCTAAAAGGATGATTTTCTTTATCCCCTCAGAGACCCCCGGTCTGTGGAGAGATTCCTGGTTTATCAGCAAATTCTGGGAAGACCCCTTGAACACGGAAATAACGGCAGCTTATGTTCAGAGATGTTCAAAGTTTATTAGACATTACTAAGATTATATAGGATACAGAAAAAGTAAGGGAGGGGGGAGCGAGTTTCAAAAACTGTAACTTGTAAGTTTCCATCATGAGCTAACTACATGAAACATGACATACATTTCTTGGTACACATTGTTTTGGCTAGCTTTCTCAGAAACAACCAGACAAAGACATTGTCAGGGTCATGTTAGCTTCTGTTGATACATCCTTGAACAACTAAAACAGTTTCATTAAACCTCTAATATATCTGCAAAAAGCTAACTTAATACTTAAAATGGCGTACATTAACAAAATGGAGGTTATCTAGATCCTTTCAGACACTAAAGCCCAATTCTAGGAAAATGTTTTTGTTTTGACTAAAGGAGGAAAGGATTAGAGCATATGTTTTTAATTTTTACTACAGGCTCCCAGTTGTGGAGAGTTCCCCATTACTTTCTGACAGGATAGGCAGTAATAGTGTTTCTATCCAACAGGGACACAGACAATAGCAAAGAGTGAAAGGAATTTGAATTTCTGACACTATTGTTGTAAAATTATTGCTAAAAGACATTTATTTCAGGAACCTTCAGGACTTCTGGACTACTAGTGGCACTAAGGTTCTTGCATGTGAATATGTCTGTATCAGTTTCCAATAGCTTGTGGCCGCAAGTCCTTGGGGGGTTATGACCATTCCTTAAGGCTACTTTGCTCTATGACTCTGCTCAAAAGAGTATGCATTCTGTTTCTGCTCCTGATGTCCTGCACTCTGAGTCTGTTCCAGAAGACCAGCTCATTATCAATGCTCCAGAAGTCTTGTAACCTGCCTAGGTTTCAGTGGTTTTTGCACCCCTATTCAATTTCAAAAGGTCTGTGCCGCAATTCACATTTCGATAACCTGCTACCCAACTCTGTAGACTCTGTTGTCTCACTACCTGCTGCTCCTCTGTTGACTCTGTTCTCTCTGCACCTGCTGCCCTCACTGACTGATGTCCAGCCTGACTCCATTATCTCTCCACCTGCTGCCAGCAACCCTCTCTGTTGCCAGACCCCATTGATGGAGCATGCAGTCTGTTGCCAGATCGTGGCAATTGATCAACCAGCTCCTATGGCATGGTACCTAGATTGTTGCCAGACCCCAGTGGTAAGGTAATTTTTCTACAGACTGTTCAAAATCAGAAAGTTTGTAATATTCTCTACAGAATTAAAGACCTGAAATGTTATTCATTTATTTCAACTTTTCCTGCAGCTTCAACAAAGACTTTGATTTATTTAGGCTCCACTTGTCAGGGCTGGTTTGAGGGTCCTGATGATGGTCCTTAAGGGGGGAGGCATGGTCAGGAACCTGCAGATTTTCTGTACCTAACCTCTTCTGCTCTGACTAGTGATGAAGATCGGGTTACCTGCTACCATGGGTTCATAATGAATCCCACAGGTTCCAGCTTAGCTGTTACTACAAATTTCTGTGCACATTTACCCAGAAGATTTTTTTTTAAACATAATAAACTGCCTTTTGACTATGGACAACAGGCTTATAAGAGCAAATAATTTGAAATTTGTCTTGGTCAGTCCCCTTTCTATAAAAGAGGAAGGGCACAAGGCAGTCCTAGTGTCAGTGAATTGCTGTGAGGAAGAGCATAGGGAAAAACTTAAAAACTGCATAGGGAGACACTAGAGTCAGTTAGGCAGGCCATACATGATTCATTTTCTTTCATTCAACCAGCTGGCACACATTTGAGGTGGATGAGGAAATCCCTCCCATGGAGCTATTGTATTCTGACAGTGAGGAGGCTTCCCTGCCATCAGAATGCACTCCTCTACACTGCCAGCTATACAGTATAGTGGCCCTTCAGTCTCTTAATCAACACTGAATATTATTATTATTATAATAGAATATATTATATTATTATACTATTATTAATATGATTATTACTCCTTATACTGCTGGCATTAGTAAATAGATGGAAAGGTATATTATATTTGCTTTTTTGAACTTTTTTTTTTACATTTTTACATTCCCAATGTTACTTCCTGTTTTTTTTTCTGTTGTATCTACTGCAGTATCTTAACTAGTTGCCGACCGCAGATAGTTGAATGAGGGCTACACTGTGGCCAGCCAGTTCTGGGAGGGCGTCATATGACGTCCTCCCAGAACGTGCTCTCCTGCGCACCCCCGGGGGAGCGCACCTGGCGATCTACGTGATCGCTGTGTCATACGGACACATCTGATCACGTGATGTGGTAAAAGGCCAATCACAGCGGCCTTTTACCACGTGATCAGCCGTGTCCAATGACAGGCTGATCACAGGGAAATGCAATTGCCGGTTCTCGGCTGCACTTTCCTCAGGCTGTCAGAACGTGAGGAAAGTACTGCTGAGAACTGGCGGCTGTCAGAGCAAGGATCGGCACCGATGATCAGGGCACTGATGATCGGTGCCCAGCAGTGCCGCCTACCTGTGCCCAGCAGTGCCCTCCACCTGTGCCCACCTGTGTCACCCATAAGTGCCACCCACCTGTGCCACCCACCTGTGCACAGCATTGCCACCCACCTGTGCCACCCACATGTGCCAATCAGTGCCGTCCACCTGTGCCCAGCAGTACCCCCCACCAGTGTCCATCAGTGCCACCCACCTGTGTCACCCACCTGTGCCCATCAGTGCCACCCACCTGTGCCCATCAGTGCCACCCACCAGTGCCCATTAGTGCAGCCCAGCAGTGCCGCCAGTCAGTGCCCAGCAGTTGTGCCAGTCAACGCCCAGCAGTGCCGCCTATCAGTGCTGACTATCAGTACCCATCATCAGTGCCGCCTATCAGTGCCACCTATCAGTGCTGCCTATCAGTGCCCATCAGTGCTGCCACATCAGTGAAGGAGAAAAATTACCTGTTTGCAAAATTTTTATAATAGAAACAAAGAAACTTTTTTTTTTCAAATTTTTTGCTCTTGTTTTGTTTATAGCGCAAAAAGTAAAACACCCAGCGGCAAGTAAATGCCACCAAAAGAAAGCTCTATTTGTGAGAAAAAATGATAAAAATGTCATATGGGTACAATGTTGTATGACTGCACAATTGTCATTCAAAGTGCGACAGCGCTGAAAGCTGAAAACTGGCCTGGTAAGGAAGGGGGTATAAGTGCCCAGCAGGCAGGTGGTTAATTCTTGTAATACAACTAGAGATGAGCGAATTATTCAAAAATTCGATTCGGCTGATTCGCCGAATTTCAGGAAGAAATTTGATTCGATGCAAATTAATTCGCTACGAAGTTAACTTATAAAGAGGGTTTCTAGGCAGAAGGAGAAGGAGAAGGAGAGGATGAGAAGAAGGAGAAGGAGAAGGATGAGAAGAAGGAGAAGGAGAAGGATGAGAAGATGGAGAAGGAGAAGGATGAGAAGAAGGAGAAGGAGAAGGATGAGAAGAAGGAGAAGGATGAGAAGAAGGAGAAGGATGAGAAGAAGGAGAAGGATGAGAAGAAGGAGAAGGATGAGAAGAAGGGATGAGAAGAAGGATGAGAAGAAGGAGAAGGATGAGAAGAAGGATGAGAAGAAGGAGAAGGATGAGAAGAAGGATGAGAAGAAGGAGAAGGATGAGAAGAAGGAGAAGGAGAA